TTGTGCATGAATATGTAAATATGTATATATCCATATATATATATATGTAAGTATGTATATATATATATATATATATATGTATATGTATGTATGTATGTATATTACACCTGCATGTCATTCACAGCTGTGGACTTTAGTCTGGTTGTGACGGGATTGATGTATTAGAGTTTTCAGCCAACTATCTTGGACTGATAGATGTTTGTATATCTGTACTTATAATATGTCAGTAGTGCCTATCAATTAACCAGAACATACTTTAGCGGGGATAAAAGATAGTAGTATAGTAGACAATATTCCGAGTGCGTGTTTATACTTCTCTGTCTGCCGCCCCTATAGTTAATAGTTGCGGTAATTTTACACAAGGAACCGCAATGAATAACATAGAGAGCAAGATGTAGCACATGTAAAATCCAATTGATTTATGTCTATTTGCGTTTTCATGTATGAATTATATGCATTTGCATGTTGTTTTCGTATGAATTATTGTGCATTTGCATGTTTTCATGTATAAATTATTATGCATAGGCATGTTTTCGTATGAATCATTATGCATTGGCATGTTTTTGTATCAATTATTGTGCACAAACGCGGCGTGCCGCCGCCATGTGGTTTCTCCGTCGCGGTATGCCTGGTTCTAGCCAGCTTCGATATCGTATGGAGGGTTACATCAAGCACGCATTGTGTCATATCTACCATGTGTGTTGGAAGTGTAATTCATATGATGCTCATGTCTTCTCTTCGCTGTTCCATCCCTATCTGCATTAGCCATCGAGTTGAGTCTGACAATGGTGGGTCTGAAGAATGGCATAGAGGACGACATCAAGCAAATAGAAACGCTGAAAGTCGCATTAACAGCCTCCGACGAGTGAAACGGTAATCAGCCACAACATAGCACAAGTGCAGACGGGGAATGACGATTCAATCCAACTAAAGAACAAATAAACAACAGAGGATTCTAATACAGCGTACTTTCAAGAACGTAAACTAATGATTCGTGTGTCGCGATATTAACACCAGCAGCGCCATTATATGCTGGCTATTGTTACTACTCGCGGCAATACGAAAATGTGACTACCACAGACGTATCGAATATACAACCTCCAAGATAGATATGTGTATAGAAGCTATGCACCCTCATACGAGCAGACAATCGACATTCCCCTCATTACTTATCAATATTTCCTTTATTTGCGGATTTGTTTATTACATACGATGCTAAAAAATTGACACATTCAGGAAAAAGGCAAATAGAGATACCAGAGTACTCACAATCTCAAATCCACTGAATTGATCTACTTGGAAACAATGTAGTCAGTCGCAGCAATATGCATGAATACGCGCAATCTATCAGGAGAAACAAGCTATATTGCTATTTGTGTTGCTCTTATTGCGGATGGGTTTTCTGGTCAGGACAATCCCTCAAGCCTTAAAACCCCAGACGGATAGAATAATTAACAATTAGGAATTCAAATGACGTTGCCGCATAAAGCCGGTAATTACGAGTACAGGCACGACCACTTGCCAGGGTGTGGTGTCGTAAGGTGGTAGACCTAATCGATTCTTATCACGAATAGAAATAAGCTATTTGTTCCATCGTCTTAAAAACGAGATCTATCTACCCTGATTATATTCGAAGTACACGCATCTTCAGCAGCTGGCAATTTGCCTACAACCGATACATTAAGTTGATCTGATACTATAGGACTATGGCTTCGTGGTACCAGCAGACACTTTGTTTGTAGCCAAATATTTCAAACAAAGATCGATGCCAACCCCGAATTGGCGAACATGGTATTCGGGCTACAAGCAACGTGACCGAGGTGCATTAAGAGGTCGCTGTTCATAAGTGGGTTTGAGATCGTTTTTGTGACGATCTCGAAGGCATTTTATTGGAAGGTAGTAGGTTCTAAAAGCGTGTCAATGCTCGTATAGAGGTCTTGCCCGATGCCAATCTTTCGAAGCCCCCCAGGAGCGAATCAATTCTTGTATTGGTGCCGAGTTGCTGTCACTTACGACACCAGGACAATTTTTCCCAATATGATTTACATTTATGCAGCCAAGCTGTTACTCTACTAACTTTTCAAATAGGGCTGTCGCAGTTACAGCTTCTGTTTCAGCGGCACTGGATACTATTTCATTGTTAGCGTGAATTTTAACGTAGTCGAAGAGTGGAATACATATGCGTGCAACCCATTATAAATATATATGTAGATATCGCAACACGGCCTGCGATGGTAAGTAATGCCTCTGCAAGTCTGCGACGGGATTTAACTTAGCAGTTGTCGAAGATTTTGGGGAAACTGATTCTTCAGGGAGTCTGTGCATTTATATTGGGCGATACTCGATAAGCCACCTGCGAGTTTTGAAATATCGTCTTAACAAAGATGTCTATTGTCGTAGCCGTGGCCTAGAAGACGAAGGTGTGTGCTTAAGGTTTTAACTCTGGAGAGGGAGCAACATAAGGTATAGTTGAATATGCAGCGAATAATATATTATAGAACTTAAACAAACTAATGACAGGTGACAGGTGCGCATATCTGCACTATCAACCGACACTACGAGATACATTCAAAGGGTATTGCCATTGAACCCCCATATGGTGAGCGATCCTGTTTTAGGGTTTTAAAACCATTTTCCTGTGGTCTTGCTGTGTCAATTCATCAGTTTTTACTACATCACAATACTATGAAGTATGTATCCAAAATCCATTAGCCTCGCCTGTTCAAGAAGGCGTGAAACACTTATATCACAACACACAGCACCGATATTGTATCAATACTCGAAGATAAAAACTCTAACTGTGAAGAGTTATCTGGATGATGGGACCATTTAATGTGGTAAAAGGGTCGAGACTATCTCTTTATAAGCGATATGTATCTAGTTGGATATTCTTTCGTCTTGTCCGATTACTGTAGCAGAATGTAAATCGGAAACTTTAAAATTCCGGATTGTTTATTCGAATAGCAGAGATATATTTCGAATAGCAGAGATATATTTCATACGTGAAGAGACACACAAAACTTCTGGCGGACTGAAATCGAGAGCCGGTTCACACGCCGATCGACCTCGACCGGAGAACCGATTTGAACTAGTATCGCTCCTGTGTGGTCGATATACATTCAGATATAAGTATATAAACTTTCAATTCTTGTATGTACTTTCAGATCTTATGATATAAAGGGTGACATGGTTGGTTGTATCACTCAACACCAGTCTCTTTAGATTTTATCGTCCTCCAGCAGTCAAGAATTACACCGAATGCGGGCAACTGTGATGGTGGAACGACACAGTTGAGCAGATACCGACTTTGGGCACCCCTGGGTAAGGGGAAAGAGGAAAGGAGGTGGAGACATTTCCCTTTATCCTAATTTATCATGCCTGCTGCCCCTTAAGGGAAAAACAGCGGACAGAAATACGAGGCACAAATATCAACTGTCCTCAAGTTCAGCTGGTCCAGCTAGCTGGCACTCTCACAGCGTTTAAGAAACTGTAAATACATGCAGCAATAGGTTTTTCCTGACCAACCCGCACAAGAGCCGATAAGCACTACGCAGGACTCAATTGTACTTGATATATGAAAAAACAAGCCGAGCATATCGGTGTCTATACACATGCATCAACTGTGAGTGATGCGGTTGAGGGATTACAGCATTCTGCGTGTAGATTAAATACACAACTGCTAGACAGTATTTATGCACGCTTCTGCTGAATCGATACGGTATTGGTTCCATTTCAGGCCGACTCTGTTTTGATACCAACCTAGAATTACGTCAGATAATGGACCGGACTTTTGTACCGTCAATACAAATCAGGCATCGGTCAAGTTGTGGCTCTCGGGTACATATGTTACACATTTCTGGCCGACTAGCAATTTCAATATAAATTTTAGGAGACAAATATATGTATATATTTATCGCTGTCCACTATGAGCAAACTTAGCTTAATATTGCACAGAAAAACTTTTAGTGATATGTTAAGAGGTAGTCCGTTGTAAAAAAAATACATCACACAGAGTTTGTACCTCATTATTCACTATTCGAGTTAATCATAGTGTCACACCATAAGTCGTTGGCTATCACTCTTTTAGACCGGGGCCAAGTGCATATCTCAGCCGGTCAAACACCAGCGCTGAAATCGAGTATTATCGAGACTACAAATGTAGCTCGAATGGATGAGGGGACGTTTGCAGTATAAATTGGGCATTTTCTGTCACGATGTCTCGGGTTGACATTCAGCAGAACTCATGGCGGCGGTTAAACCCTCGACATGCACAGTAGCCGAGGTATTTTTCTATGTGTCTTAACAACAATAAGTAGGCTTTTTGTGTCATATTTCAGCATTGCGGCTGACATACATTAAACAACACATTGATAGTTGGGCTGTCATTGCCGATATATTAAACCTAGTCCAACATCTGAAAGAAATATTTGAGCTTGAGTTTTTCTCTATAGGGCTATACGACATACAATACACTGCACAAAGAATTGGACCAGAAAGTTTGGAAATCGGGAATACACATATATTGATGCTACAAGAACTCGCCCTGGGATGTTATCATACCTTTCAATTCACAACTATACTTTCAATTGTGGTTTCTAGTGTACTGTTCAGGCCAAACGTTGAATAATTTCATCATTCATCACGATAATACAGCAGATGCTAGAGACTTTTATCATCATACCTTATTAATACGATATAAATATTTGTTTTTTACCTAGTTTGGCGTACTGTTGGCAAGTCCAATCGGAAGCACGTAACTACTGAAGTGTTATTTAGTTGTTGTGGAATGTTGGCGTATTGACCAGGTGTCTTTTGCTGATCTATATAAACAAGAGATACCTACTTGGTGGCTCTCTTGAGGAGGGAAGTATAACTAAACCCTCTCTCGTATTATATTGTATTATTTAACCAGAAGGCAATCAATTGGTAACATTGCTTCTGCTAGGTAATGGCAGGCATTGTCAGAAAGTTCGAGGATCCTATCCGTTGCGTCGGTGGTCACTGGCTCTTCCTGGAGCACATCCTGCAAAATTCGATATTCGATGTGGATCTGTGGAGAATTGTTCATTTCGGTGAGAACGGCATAACTTCAACGGGAACCGCCATTTTTGTTCACCACGCTTCTTTCAATCAGTGTGGTCTCTCTTTCAAACATCTCACATTGGCTCGAGATTTTACCTTGCATTTATGGTACGGTATGCGGCTGTATTTGGTGCAACTTATGCATTTGTAGGGGGCGAGAGTACACCCGTGGTAGATCGTTTTGCAGCTGCAAGACATGTGATAGGTTGGTATCCGCTTTTGTACAAGCACCCAGCTACGTGTGTAAAATGTACAGGTCTTTGCCAGAACCTAATCTTAATAAAATTATACATACTCCAAGTATTCGGCTTGCCAAATAGATATGGTGACGGCCGTGTAAATCAGACGATTTCGACACGCACAAAGTCCTAACACGGGAAATTGTCTATCGTGTGCCTCACTGTATTGGAAGAGTTGCCACAAATACACCCTCCGCTCCCAACCACGCGCCACGAAGCGCAGACGACTACGTACACGCCCGCATCTTGTTATTGCAATGCAGTTTTACAAGTTGATTGTGTTAAAAAATACATATAAAAATCAACCAGTGGGTACGGAGATGAGCTGGAACATTTTTCGGTGATGATATAACAGCTTCAGTCGACTTCTTCTACCCAACTACGCACATCTGATACAACAAAGGTATACACTCGACTTCCTAGGGACTAGCCGACATGAATTAAACTTGACTTACATTACCGCAGATGCAAATGGATCACTCTTATTATTATTTGCGTGCGTTTAGGAGTCTCTGCTGAAGGTGCAGTGTAATATTGTCATATTGATTTGATTTTATGTGAGACATGTATGGCCTTACGGTTACAGAGAGAGTTTTGAGTCTATAGAGTTCGAAGCAATTTTGCACATTCAAAAATGTAATTGTCGACCCGGGTTTTGCTGGCACACTTGGAAATTAAATTCGACGCATTGCTTCATTTGTGTACATAGACTAGGGTGTTCATGATTTTAGTATGGAGCACGGATCGCGTGTCGCGTGTATGGCAATCAATAGTGTATTTTTTTTGGATCGACCATATCGCTACATGAATCAACATTCCACGCTAGAGATGTGGCAGACTTATTTATATTTCACGAAATCACCTGCCGAGGCAATCCTTATTTATGCTTCGCGGTGTACAGAATCAAAAGTGACACTCTGACAGTAGCTGTTGGACAGTGAATTTCACGCAGCCGAAGCAATATACGGAGAATGACACGCGTAGCCATATTCCGTCAACCTATTTCATTGTTTTGCTTTAATGTATGCAATCGATCGAGTAGTGAAGTACACATATAGGTCGTTACGAAACTTGACTTGACGAAGGATTGGTCAGAGTCCGCGACTGTTCTTGCTCATATCTCACCTGATATGCATCATATTCTCAACTAAGCCCTCAGTTTATATACATGCCAAGACTATTAAAGCAGTGACCAGTATACATACATGGTACGCATATACAACATCTAGGGTACGCATATACAACATCTAGTTGCTTAGCGAGTGTCACTCTGACGAGTTGCGTGAAAGACTGACGGGCAAGACTACTGCGTCTGAGTATGCCAGCTGGCTTGCACTATTGAGCTCTCCTTTTACGGAAGATGGGGAAAACCATTGCCGCTCAAATGAAGGAGATTTGCCTATTATTTTGTTTGCAAAGCAAGTTTACGTGACTGAAGTGGTGTTTGCTAAATAGGATTTGATCTCACCTTTAGAAACGATAGGTCATGTGAGGACGAGTTCACTGATGCTGGTATAATATACATTGTTCATATGTTAACACAAGTAACCCCTGTATCGGCTCCGCTCTAACAAGTTAGTAGGTTTTAAATGCTGTGTTGAACAACTGATAGTATAAACTTCTGAAATACGTAGCTGAAGCGCAAAGTAGCTGTCCTTGCATAGTCTGCCGTTGTTTCTTTCAATTTTCGGCTTCTGTTGGGTCACCAGGATGCCGGAGACTGGAACGTTTACAATATAGCAATAGTTTCATGACACCTGAGCTTCTAACTCGTATCCCAGCCAACAACCTGGCTATAACAATAGAACCCTTAAGCCAGTTTCTAGGTCTCATACCTCAAAATTACAGATCTCTTGACTCTAAGTCATATGTATTGTACACTACATAGTTGGAGTAGCAAATACCTACCTATGATAGTTCTTTATAGAATACGTAATACACAAATGTACGAGCAGTTCTGATGTAGTAGTAAAATATTTTCATAGATTGATTTTGGTCAATGCATGCGTGCAAGTATCCTTTTTCTTCTTTTTTAAACTTACTTAGATGCATACTTTTAAAATGCTTATTAGTGTATACACATTTATTTAAGCATCTCCAAAGTGCGAATTAGTTTTCACAATTTATATATATTTACCTGCCCACGGTAGGGGACACTGTAACAAAATAGAAACGCAGATATCCGTCGAGGTCGGGAGGGACAAAGTATCGACCTCCCATATGCACTGCTGACACTGTGACAAGCCCGAGTATATTTCGAAGTCTACAATTGCATGGTATCCATATCAATTCCTATATCTGTTGCACCTTGAAAATATTCGAAACAACCAAGGAGAAAGCACTACAACGCTTCCAAAGGGTTTGGGAACATCATTCACTTTTTGGAACACAATATTAATTACTACTTTATATACGAACTCATTGGCACTTTTAGACTATGTCTTCATACCTTCACGCATTGGTGTTTTTGAAGCGTTTCATGCAGCGACCCCGGGGAAGGTGCTGATTGCATTGGTTGCTGCTCGATTTTTACAAAGATTCTCAACGAACATGTGTAAATGGCACGTCACCCTATGCTGGTGAACACTGAAACCCAGAGTGGCCTCCCGGCCGGCTTAATTAAGATCGAAAAGATCATTTCAATTTCCGCTGAGACCCCTATTATACAGTTCCGTCTGGCATTTAATGCGAGATTTATGCAGTCTTTTACCGCGAGATGTATGCAGTCTTTTACCGCGAGATGTATGCAGTCTTTTACCGCGCTGAACACGCAATTTATGACTATTGCTATCATGTCTCGTGTAAGCCAATGAACTATTGGAAGCTTGATAGAAGTGACGTATAGATAAGAGCGACTCATTTTTTTTTAAAAGTGCTACACTGTCTCCATAATCACCATGTGCGAGGATAGTCTTGTGGGTAACAATCCGTTGTCACTTGCTCAATAGTACTCGAGCAGCCTGTACCGCGGCGAAGAAATACACATCTGCTTCAATAAAACTCAATAATAGACATTTGTTCTGTTCGTATGATTGTTCTAACGGTGGTATAGAGTTTTTCACAGACGATGTTCACGCCACGAGGTAGTTGTGAACATAAAAACAAATCAATGCACAAAGAACGTGTATAGCTACAACAATAAACATGAAGTACAATACCGCCTAATGGGATTTTTAATGGAATCGTGTATCTGGGAAATATCAGTTTTGTTCGTAATCTTTTCTTTATTTTGATAATTGGTATGTTTTCAAAATATCCGGTCACGTCCGTTCATTCATCTCTGAAAGTATTTCAATTCCTTAATTTTTTTCAACTTCATTTGCACTTAAAATATTTAGTTTGCAAGATTGTCCACGCCAGCGCACAGATCTTCCGTATTTTAATCGGCTTCTAGAAATAGTCCAATAATTTTTAGAGAAGCAGTCAAAATCGTGGCGCAGAATATACATAGTCTGAAATATGTCCGTGAAGTTCTTTCAAATTCGTATCGCTTCGGCCCACTTAATGATGTTTATATATACACTCACATCTACAATTAACACCCCGCGATATTGTCAGCAGAGACTTATTGTTAATCAGGCTCTTGGGACGCATATCCGTCGGTAAGATCTATGCTTCCCTACTACTATATTCCTTCTACCACAGAAAAAAATTGTCCGTGATTTCCTCGAAATACTTTTATTTTCATTTAATTTGCTTCAAAAAAAAAAGAAGTAGGGAACATTTTAAACTTTCTCGTTCTATATTAACTTAAAAATATAGCATCTGCACCTCAAACTCTTCGACAACTGCTGTGAGATATTAGTGTTCCTTTCACCTACCCACACCCAACTAAGTATGCAAACTGCACGATACCACTTCTTATTGAGACGGTCTCCGTTGCGCTGGAAATAAGCTCTTAACATGACAGCGTAAGCCAATGATTTTGTCTCATGGGTCGTCCCTATGGCCTCGAATACTAATGAAATCAAGATCGATCGCGGTAGACTCTCAGCGACCGCCTATCAGATCTCATCGAATCGAGAGTATCAAAAAACGTCAGATCCTTCACAACGCTAGTCTATGCATGATGTTTGGCGTCAGATTCGACGAGTCCCAATTTACGCGAGTGTACAAAACAGCGTGTTTCTGAGGTAGTGTCTGCTTCTCAACGGCCTAAAGCCTTGTTCAAAATAGGTCGAATATTGCTACAACCGGGCTGTGTGGACTACAACTCGCCTCGATAATCACTGGCATTGTCTCAATGTCCTCGACTAGCTTGGGGGTGGCGTTCATCACAAGCACCCTTAACCGACGTCGCAAACTAACGTCATTTACCAGCATGCTAGATGGCGTCGTTAAGGGCGTCATACTGCTGTATGGCGCCCTTTACTGGATCGGCCACCTCCATCCGACCCTCTTCAGACAAGTCGTAATAGTCTATCGTCGTTCCGTAACCTGTGGTAATAACGCGGATGACCTGTACAGACAATATGGGGTAAATTACGGAATAATGAGAAGATACTGCACAGGCCGAAACAGCCAGATTCCATATGGCTTTGTTATTCAAAGAGAGAGACTGTATGCGCTGAGAGTGTATCTTAAGAAGATCGAGAGCTACATGCATAGTTGTATGTCCCGCACCTTTCGCATGATTGGTTGTTGGTGTACTATTTTGCATCGTGTGATAAAGGTCTCTTGGAGAGTGCCATAAGATCTACAGCATGAAGAAATCTCAGGTGGTGTTGTGTGTATTCATATTTATAGTGGCCACTCTGTCGCAGGATTCTTTCATTCTGTGATATGATCTTCTCAGGCTTACACTAGTATATTACGAACATGAGTTCTGTGATAGACAATAATGCAAGTTGAGTTTCGTATGTATGTATCATTTACTGAGTATATATACCTATATATACCTACACACATACACACACACACACACACATATATATATATATATATAAATATATAGATAAATGGATAGATACAGTTATACATATAGATCCAAGTGGAAAATTAGCAACATATACACTCATATCGACACTCGGGTCTAGCTGTGCATTGTGTATTTGATAAGGGGTGCTACACCTACACAGGTGCAAATGCGTGCACAGAACGAAAGCATCTTTGGATAATGCGTTGGGTGTGCACAAGAGTCCACATATCAGCATCTACACGCAACAGACAACTCATGAGTGTAATGTATAGCAGAGAGTTGACCTGTACGTATGCGACACATAATTATACACGCACCGCCATGCATACGCATAGGAAACCGAACCCAAACGGAATGGTGATCTTGAATGTGTGGGATATACACTATTTCCAGACTTGGCATGCGATTGTACCTACAAACATGCTGAAATAGAACAAACACAGACCATGTGAAGAGAGATCAACGTGGAAGGTATATCACACAGTATCCTTGCCTCTTTCCATCTATAAACACACAACTTCACACTATTCCATTCACACACACACACAAGCACACAGTAATATATATATAAACATATACATATACACAAACATATACATCTAATATACATATACATATATTTATACATAATCTATATATATATATACATATATATATTCGTAGGAAACAGACGCACAGTGAACACGACATACCGTGTGTAGGGGTATTGGTGTGAAGGGGATGTCCTCCGCGGGGATGTCCAGTAGATAGGCAAATAAACATCGCATTGTCGCTCTGTGAGAAACCACCAGCAACGGTCTATTGGTGCGTTCTAATTCCATTATCACGGGCTCTAAGCGTTTGCACAGATCCTGTGCATACAGTTCATGGCAGTGGTATTGATATCATTTGTCTGTGTTTGGTAGTGTAATAACTTGTCTTTGTTTGGTAGTGTAATAACTTGTCTGTGTTTGGTATTGTAATGACTTGTCTGTGTTTGGTATTGTAATGATTTGTCTGTGTTTGGTATTGTAATGATTTGTCTGTGTTTGGTATTGTAATGATTAGT